ATGTCCAGAATCCCATTCACAACCTGTCCCTATTGGCAGTGTCCAGGAGGATCCAGATTCATTCTCAATGCCGTACACTGCCAATGGACACATATATATAATTAAAAATGCTTCTCTATTTTCTACAGGGAAAGACCTTACCCCATTAATTATGTCACAGAGACTGCACTAAGGATGATGGACTCCATAAAAACAGGAAAATAGCTTAAAAATGTGAGTTTCAAGAAAGAAAAAAGATGCTGAAGGCAAGGTTATTTAACCTTCAGTTTTCACATTTTTCTCTAGATTCATAAGAGTTATCATTTTAAGTGAAAGCCAGCTTAATTTCACCTATAGCATAACACATAACTGGTAGAGAAAGCTAGTGACCCCTCAAGGGTGACAGTGGTGTGAATGAGGACACTGAAGGGAAGGCAGCGTTGTCTTAGGTTGGCCAAAGGAACTGTTAAGCATAAAGGACATCAGTAGAATTTAGGCTGCTTGCAGTCCATCCCATTGATGGTCTTGACTACTTGCATTAGGTGTGCTTAGGTAAGACAAGTACTATGATTCATGGTAACACACAAAGCCAAGAGATGTTGAAGAAAACAAATCCTTCCATGCTTCATTTATTTACCTTCCAAATAAGGTAAAAACACCAACCTAAAGTCACGTTAAGTATGGTAAGGACTGGTGGAGCAAGAGTTCTGTGGTTGTAAGGTTGTAGAAGTGCCTTTCATAGGGCCGAGTGGTTCTGGGAGCACACTGGGCTGATACAGCCTTATCACGCAATAACTGAGATGCCTCTTGGGTTTCTGAGCAGTGCTCCTTGGCAGTGTTTGCTCTGGGCCTGGGGCACAATCAAGACATTTGTCTGCCGGTTTATAACAGAAATTTGCTTTGTCAGTTCGAAAGCATATTTTCAAAACTGAACGCATTTCAAACTATATTAAGAAACGTTTCTTCCATGTAGTGGAATAGTACTGTTTTAGGATTGTTTGTTTTCCTTTTTTTTTTAGGTTTACATGAGTTGGGGATTTTGTATTAGTTTAGAAATGGTTTTTAGTTTAAAAACGTGCAACAGTAGGATTTAGAATTAAACTTGCCTAGTAGGCAATGTCTGCTTCACTTTCAGAAGTGTCACCATGGATAATAAAAAAGCCTCCCCTGGCTTGTTGGAAATCAGCCCCCTCCCACTCTATTAGATGTGCACCACAGCAGCACAGACTGCAGGGTGCATTAGTGACCCAAATGTGCCCTTACTCTATGTCCGAACTAGTAAATAAAACAAGCCCATGTTGACTGCCCATCCCTAAGGGCAAGCATTGCTTGTTCAACTAAACTCTCTCCTTCCATCCTTCAAACAGGCTAGTTTTGCCCATACTGCCTACGGCGGATAGTCCCTAGCTAGTGCTGCTATGCTGAGGCTTTGGCGGATGGACAGACACTGCTCCCTTTGCACCACCTTGAAGAAGCAGGAAGCAAATGAACCATTAGTGTTCCCCATGCACCCACCTGCACAGCCACAACATCTCCAGTGTCTTTTTAGCAGCAGAATGATCAGAGAAAAGTCAATCACATGTTCAGTTATTTCCCTAATGTTAATTTTGTTTTAATGCCAGGTCTCCCTGTGAGTGTAACACCTGAGGGTGTTTCATTTTCCATTCTTTAAAAGACAGATTCTTTGTGAGCACAGTGCTAATGCCAACCACACCTGTTGCAAAGTTTGCTCAGCACAGTGACCAGTATTATGGGTGCGTAGTAGCTTTCATAAACACAAATTTGCTTTTTAATTTTTTTATTATGTAGTCACTGATAAGAACAGTAATCTTTCTTAACCTGTTTCTTAAGAACAACATATATAACTGATGTTTTTTTTTTCAGGATATGAACAGAGTGTTTTGCTTCCAACCACCTACAAAGAAAATACCATGCCTGCAGAAGATGGAGAGCGGGGTAGCAGGAATAGTGTCTGAGAGGATCTGCACTGTGCCCTTTCCATGCTTTCTTGGGTGTGTATATGTGGAGCTGCATATTTTGAGTGAAATTATGAGCTATTATTCCTGCACATTTCTGTCTCCTGTGAGACATCTAGCTAAGAGACATAGAATTGAGATTTCTTTTTCTTTCTGAGAATATAACAGGTTTGTGCTAGAAACAATTTAGTGTAATGTGATCAAACTGTGAGACAATCCTAAATTATTTTTAATTATCTTTCCTTACAGAACATCATGTCCTTCTCCCAACTTGTCAAGTATTCTTTTCTATTCCTCAGTCATGCCTGGAGGACACAAACTGCTTTTGGACAGAACAGCAAGGAGGAAAGGGAAAAGCTCCCACTCAATTCAGAAGACCAGTTCCAGTTGACAGAGGAATTGCCTGCTGGCCCTTTGCCTACAGCCTCATCCTCTGACTTTTTGGTCCCATCCATGGAGGCAACTCATAATCAAAACATGTTTCTGGCAGCAAATAATGCTGTAAGACTCCTCACATGCTTGCACTCCGTGGACAGCCCAGTCGGAGGACTACCTCGGGAAGCTGAGGAACTGATTGAGATTGTCATAGCTTGAGTCCTCCCTGGCCTCTCTGCCAACACAATGAGGGGCCAGATGTTCAAACTACCACTTTATGGTATAGAGGCAGAACACATGAGTGGGGATGGGGGAGATACACGGTCAACTTAAAACACTGTAATTAGTGGCACACACAGCCTGGTAGGATCCTATATCCTAGACAGTCTTATCCGTCGGTATAGAGGCAGAACATCTGGGTGGGGATGGGGGAAGATACGCGGTCAGCTTAAAACGCTGTAATTAGTGGCACACACAGCCCAGTAGCATCCTATATCCTAGACAGTCTTATCCGTGCTTCCGGGCATAGTTAGAGTGCTCCTATGAATAACTAAGTGTGCTGAGGTTTACAGCTCAAGGACAAAGTAAATTTGTTTGGCCTTTGGGTGGTGTACACAAATGCCCCAATACAGGCTAAGTAGCCATACCATCTCCCATGGAGATTGCACGGCCATAGGCTCTCGCTAATGCCTTGAAGTCGTTTCAAACAAAAGGAAAAAGAAGTTCAAAATATTTTGAGAAGGAAGAAGGACAAAGAAAAGAGATGAAGTTCCATGCTTCTAAGTTTGTTGAGTTAGTTCTTATTCTCACAATTCAAGTAAGGCTTTCCTGGATGAAGTTCCATGCTTCCAAGTTTGTTGAGTTAGTTCTCACAATTCAAGTAAGGCTTTCCTGTGGAATTGCTTGTCAAATTATACCTTTTAGTTCTGACTGCTTTAATTCGTGTGAAAATCTCCCTTCTCTTTAGTAAGTTGCTTAGTTTCATATGCAGTCTGAAATAAAAAGAATGTGAAACTGTGTTGTAAACATTTGCTATCACCAGTTTTATTATAGATCTCAATTTTACATCAACATTTTATATTATGTTAGAATAGGTACAAAAGTGAGTATTATGACAAGTTCTTGACCTATAGGCAGAAATAATCTTCTTAAAAGTTTTGGTATGTATCTGAATTTTAAACCTAAGTAGTTACATAACAGAGTGCAAATAAAAATGCATTTCACTTAATGTAAACATTATGGGCAAGGCCTTGGGTGTGTCAAGGTATGGTCAGTGCAGGCCCACATACTAGACAACAAAGATTTACCTAGAGATGCTCTAAATTATACAAGCTTGCACAGTTCCATAAGGACCCTTCAGATGCTGGGTAGTCACTAAAATACTTAGCACTATAACATTTTGCCTGTTGGATCACAAAAATCTCTGCGTACTTAATGAATTGGCAAGTTGCTGGTTACCCTAACATTGCAACACCTAGGAATATATATTCAGAGAAAAAAAATTTCCCTTGGGGTCAGTGGCAAAGCTGAGGCCAGAAACGGGCCTCAGATCTTTATTTTCTTATAAACACTGTTCCTGAACATGCGTATGAGAACTGCAAAATAAAAACCAAAAACAATGAAACCTGCTGTTTCACTGTAACACATGTCCATGCTTGTGAATTATATACTGCAAGGCATTACTTTTTGCCTAAGAAACTTAAGGCAAGAGAGACTCCTTATTTTGGCAACCTCTGAGATTTCTCTCTGATCAGGCTGTGGCCTAACGGGCCACATATGAATGTTGTAAAGCTAACACTTATTACTATATTAAGAATAAAATTTAATCATCAGAACTGCAGTTGTGTTCCCAGAACTATACTGTGTAGAATTTTAATGGAAATGTCTGAGTCAGTCTTGCTATTTTCTCTTCTCAGCCACACACTCAACGCGTTCTTGCAGATGCTCTGAGCAGATTCTGGTCTTTGCTGTTTCCCCACTGGCCACTTTCTGTGATGCTCATTAAAAGGTAAGCTCTGTCTTTTCCACTGTTTGCTTTGAGTCTCAGAGCTGCTGAAGTCCCTGGGAGAAAAGGCCAGAACCTTGCTTAGATCTGCTTGACTCACGTAAGGAATAGAAGGGGAGAAACTTCAGGTCTTCCTCATTCACTCCCCCCAACCTACATAAATTGAAATAGCTCATGTGAACTTATAAAATGCACCACTGGATAATATTCCCTGCTAGGGGATATTCCACTTGGAACTGCAAGACTGCAGCATGCTCCAGTCGCTCTCTTCCAACCTTGCTAGGGCAGGAAGCAGAAAGCTGACCCTGGCAAGCTCTGTCTTCCCTGGAAAGTCTCCTCCCTATGAATGCCCCAGGGAATCCCTGGTCTAATTCCTTTCTCTGTGCACAATCTATCTGAGCTGTGCAAAAGAGAACAAACCAGAACAAAACACCTGCCCTCAAATACCAATTCCTGGCCTTTCTGAAATAATATGTTGGTTTGTTTATGTACATGTGTATAGTAATCACACCTAAAATATCATCTATTACTTGGCTGTCAGTATCAGCAGCAAGGATTTCTGGTTACTGACTCCATGCACACCATGGTGCTATTTATCACTCTAAACTATGTAGGCATATCTTCTCTCTCAGTTTCACATACACATAAAGAATGTCTTCATAGTTTCATGGTGTTTCCGTTTTGCTGCTGCAAAGTCTGCAGTCCGCATGGTCAGGATTATTTACACACTGCAGGAGCTGAACTGGTCTGTGATAAGACAGAAAAACAAATAGTAATCACTTTGCATGTTCAATAATAACACCACAGTTACTAAATGCAAAAGTCAAAGTACATGTTACACCTGTGCACATCAAGTGGCTGTCCTTTCTAAAGATAACTATTTTTAGGTCATGCTCCAGGAAAAAAAAGCTTTAGTGTTTATAGGAGTTGGGCAGAAGAACAAGTGACTCCAAAGTAAAGAAAGATGTGAACTTACAGCAAGTCACCTGCACTGTGGAGGCCAAAATAATTATGAAAGAGAAATAAGATATTTTGCATTGATATGGAGTTACTGCCATGCTGCAAGTTCAGCTGGTAACTGTTACAGTGCAGCATCACTGCAAAAAAATGTCATTCAGGCTTAGATTTTTTGCTGGAATTGCATCTAATGAGTCAACGTTTGAGTAACTTATGGATGACACTGCTGACACTGACAAAAGCAAGAGCTGATGATCTGCAGCCATTACCATGTGGAATGAAAAACCAGATGCTCTGCCAGTATGGACCTGTATAGTTCTGTTCGTGTTGGCACTGATTTTGGTGGAGTGAAATAAACTTGTCAGGTCTATCTTGAAGAGTTTCACTCTACAAGTAAGTCACTGGTTTTCTTATTTCTCTGTACATAAAATAATATAATTAGTTGTCCCTGTTGTTCTACGGAGCATTGTTTATGTAGCAATTGGACTTCGACAGAAAGACCAGTTAGTTATTCTGCCTTAAGAACCTATCAAGACAACCGTGTTTGTGAACACATTCTTCATAATGTTTTACAGGCATCTCCTAGGCCTCAGCCATAGGGGAATCTAAATTACTATGGATTTTCCCTTCCAGATTGATCCCTTCCTATTCAGTAGCTTAGAAAGCCATAGGAAAAACTTCTGAAAATAAAGTCTGAAATAGGACAAACTTAGTCTGAACTTAGTCTGTTCTTTGTTACAGGTGCATGTCCTGGGAGCATTGCTGCATTTACCCTGAGAGAAAGTGAGTACATGAACACTAAGATTCGGCACATTTATGCACCACACCAGAATTATTCTTTCACAATGCACAGCGTAGCCATTACTCAGATTCAGCAATACTTAAACAGGAATGTATTGCTCTGTCTTCAAGAAGATTAAAGCCCTACCACCAGATAAGGTTTTGTAAGGCAAATGTCTCCTTTGCAGACCAACTTTCCCTTACTTAAAACTAATGTCATAAGACCCATCAGTTTATTGAACTGTTTGTTTAGTCTGGAGATGTTTTTATCAGGTGGGATATGTATTCTTCACCCTGAAAAACTGCTCTTAACAGATAAGAAATGATTATTGAGCTTTATGATTGAAACTGAACCTTTGCTCTTTTTTAATGTCACTAAAGAACATTGTTCCCTCTGTGTGAAGATCTCTGAACCCATGCTAAGGAATAGAGGTCTCAGGCAGACTGAGATCTTAATTAAGACAGAGCTTGGATTGTTTTGTTTCCCAGGCTCCTTTTCATATTTTCTGACAATGGTAAATTACAATAAATTGTAATAACTCTTGTCATTTCTCTGTCTCTCTGACAAAGCAGATAGATGAATAGGTAGGAAGCTAAAGCAATAGTGAAGGAAGTAAGGTCACTCCTTGCCATGACACATTACCTGCATGCAACAGGGAAGAAGCTGCCTATTCAGTTTGGATTGCCAGAGAAGAAAACCTGGCCAGATAAAACCTGTTGAGGAAGGATGGATTGTTGCTTCCTTGAAGCCAACTGAGCATGTTCAATGGAGTTGACCTTTGGGAGAGCAGAGAAGAAAGCAATCCCAGACCCTCCCAACAGGAGGTCTGCAGCACAAGTGTAAGCTCCTGAGAAGAGCTGGAAGGAGGTGCACAACCAGATGTGATGGAACCAAGAGGGGAATTTGCTCTAGTTGGCTGTGATCCAGAAAACTACAGTATAGCACCCCCAGAAAACCATATCTCAATTGTATGTGGGAGGGAGATGTAATGTTAGTTTTATGCTAGCAAGTTGACACTAATCCAGGGCAGGTAATTACCTATGATTCTCTTCACAGGTGAACTTCAAGTTTCGCTCTTCCAAGGTGTCTTTTAACCTCCTTATGGAATATCCAGAGCAGGATTCACTGGAGAAAAAAAAAAAAAAGTCTTTTGTTACTTGTGTTCCATGTATGTACAGGAAAATTCAGTTAATCTCTACAGTATGTAACTTCATATTTTATTTCAGGTAAGATTCTTAAAGATTGGGTACTAGCCTTGTTTCTTGATGTGCTGCAAAGTCCATTTGAGTTTGTGAGCTTTGGCTACTACAGGCCTTTACTGGTGGAAACTGTGCATGATGCTTAGTTGTGTATCTTGCAAAAAATCTTTGTGCGGGAAGATACCTATGGGAAATAGACTGCAGCCACTGCAGCCACTCTGGGTAAGGGGCTGCTTCAACTGTTTTTCCATTGGTGGGAGCCCTGATTTGGGTATTTCTCTTCTATCCAGCTAAAGGTTTTCATGAACCGTATCATATCCTAGCATATCCTTGTGACAGGCTATCATATCCTTGTGATATTTATCTTTATGCTGGATTTGCCTGAAATAGCTCAAGGTGCCACATAGTTGTAGTTGAGAGGATTGACAAACGGATAGAGACTCATTTGGGGCTAGCATACTTAACCTTTGAGGTCCGCCGATATCATGCATAAGCCAAATCTGTACTGCAGAGACTTTATCTGGATTTAAGTTAGAGATCTCAATGCTTCCAAAAATGCTGTAAGAATTGAACATGAAAAAGCAAAACATATTTAAGTAAGTGAGATGTACAAAGTATCTTCCCCAGGTATGACTGCTTGTTATTGTCAGTGAAAGAGCATCTTATCTTGCCCCTGGATTTTCTGGAATATTTAATGATCTTGTGGTAAAAGATTTTCTCCTCATTCTTATTTCACTTCCATGTGAGCTTTTGAAGGCTGAAACAAGATGACATTTTTTTCAGCGTCAGTGTCCTTTTGCTTGTTTGATTTATGGGTTATCGGCTTGATTTGCTTCAAAGGAAATGAACACGGCCGTTTTGCTGACCAGTGCATTCTTCATTTTTCAACATTATTGAAGACTGCATTCCCTCTCAGGTAATTCAAAGAAGCACAGTCAAAAATGAAGGCATCTTAGTGAGTAGTTAGAAATGTCATTCATGTGGGTATAACATACTATACAGACCTAGACTAATTGTAATAGCAGAGTTACTTTATCAGTAAGAGCATATTGCAGATCATACCATATACCATCAGAAGAATTTAAATTGGAGTTGCTGCATAGAAGGCTGCTAGATGAATCGGCTCTGGAACAGCTAAGTTTGGATGCATATATGAGTTTATTAAAAGACAGTCTGTGCTGGGACTCTCTGGCAGAGCCCCATTCACCAGGATGCAGGCTCCAAACAAGCAGTCCCAGAAAAGCAGGCATGGTGGCATGCTGAATAAATACCTGCTGCTTCTGAAAGCTCCAGCTTCTATTGATCCATTGAGCATCACTTGAACCACACCACATGCTGCTTCTGCAAACTGAGCAGAACAAGGGACATCATTGCACTTTAACTTTGCAAGCAGTGTCACATCAGGTTCTTGGCCAGTGGAAATGACTGAAACTTCTTTGATGTTGTCAGAGTTGATTTCTGCAAATAGAGGATCTGGCTGATATTTTTGCCTGAAGATGCTAGTGAAAATAAAAGCTTCTAAGATTGTGGCAAAATTGTCATAAACTTGCATTAACTAGCTAGAGATTGGCAGTCTAAGATTGCATGGTACTGGTATAGCAAATCTGCTGTCATGGTTATCTTCAGTATTTATGGGAAGATGCAACTTTCTAGAGCTCTGCTGGCTACAGGGCTGTTAGCTCCCTCAATAGTTTGGAATAGTCCTCAGGCTACTTTAACTCACACTGTGAGAACAAGCCAGAACAGAGATGCCACAGGTCTGAGGTGTGAATCCGTGCCTAAAATTTTAAGACTACTAAGGTTACAACATAGAGTACCCAGAGCACTCTTGATATATAATCCTTTGGTAAAAGAAAGAATTTTTAAACTGCTGAACACAGATAACTGCACTTATTAAATCCTCCAAGTGCTCTTATATATTAACAGTGTGGCTCAAACACAGCTCTTGGGAGTTATGAAGTTATAGGAGGATTTAATTATATGTAACTTTTTAATGAGTTTTACTAGATCTTAAATATATGAGCTATTATATATAAGCTGGCTCAAGCACAGCTCTTGGGAGTTATGAAGTTACAGGAGGGTTTAATTATATGTAACTTTTAAATGAGTTTTACTAGATCTTAAATATATTTGGACTGGAAAGCAAGCCTAAGTCTGCACAGTGTTTATCCCACCCAGATTCTGGAACGGATGGGATTAATGAGAACACTGAAACTACTAGAAACGCCTTTGAGCTTGGAAACTTTTATATACGTTGGTTAATTCATACATAGTTTTGTTTGTATGTGTGGTTTTTTTTTTTTTGATGATAGCTGAAGAACATGTAGGTGCTTATTTTTTCCATCTGGAGAGTTCTCCATTAATGGCCATATCAAAGGTGAAATCTCCTGAGATGTGTAAAATTAAACAGACACAAGAGGGTAGTTCTTCTGGCAGATATATGTCAAATGAGCGTTCTGCGGAGTGCTGATTCCACAAAGCCGGGTTAAATGCTTAACCCTGAGCACCAGGATCTCATTCATGTGCTTGGGGCTGACGTGTGTGCAGAAGGGTGTGTAAGGAAGAATCCTGCAGGATCAGCATGCTGGGCGGGCATCCTGCTGGGGTTTGTTTTGGCAAAATGCAGGGAGATTCTCATCCTCTTGGCAAATTTCTATGGCATTTGTAAGCTGATATTGACATTAACATGTCAATATATATGTATAAACATTATATATATATTTCAGTTCTGTGATTAGACTTATTATTATTATTATTATTGTAAGTATTATTATTATAAGCAGTCTGTCAAGTGTATTCTAGGTACTGGCATATATATATTTTTTTTCCTCCAGATTTCCACATTGTGGATGAAATGCTCCCCCATCATGTCAGCTCATGACTTTAATGGTCCTTCAGCATTTTCGGAGTAGTTCTTACTCCCTTGGAACTTACCATCTTGGATGCCATTTTCCAGAACACAGAAATAGGGTTGCTTTCACATTCAGTCCGTTTTGGGCAAGATTCGTAGTTGATTCCTGAAAAGAAATAAATTAATAGAATAATTAAGTTTAGAAGGAATATTGTTAACATGTTAATGTGACTTTGAGAGCTATTTAAAAATGGCAAAAAATATGCACCCTATCAAAGCAAGAAGGCCACATGAGGAAGGAGCTATAAGAGAGAAGTTATTCTGCATGTGCTTGAAGGTCTTCCTGTTAACTCATACATGTTGCAGGAAGATAATTGCAGGACATATATGCAAATCATCTCCAGTAAACTGTGTATGGGAAACATAGTTTGAATGTGAAAAACAGGTTGGACAAATGTCTGATCATGTTGAAAAACTAAACTTTGCCCAACATTTTCAACAGCTCCAGTTTAGAAATTACTGATCTTTGAGCACCAATCCAGAAGTCACATGGGTAGCAATTATCCCAAGGCACCTACATGCTGTTCCAGGCACTTGGAGAGGCCCAAACTTGGGATGTTCCTGAGTGGGGTCCTTTATTTCAGTTTGTCCCATCGGACAAATCACTGGAAGATACTGAGTAATCTAGATAAAGCAGGCTAGATGTGACTATTCACTGAAGGACCAATTTGGTCTTTACTAGCAGTCAAAAAGTTCTGCTTTTTAAATCAACCTGAGAAATAAGTGTTTTTTTTAGTTTTCCGTAACATGGAAGGTTTTAAAATAAATTACAGGAACAGAATATTTTAAGAGAGACTGTGTTTAGGTCTAGATATACACAAGGAAAAGAATAATCTGGAATACTGATGTTGATATTTGTAATGTAAAAAACAGATTCTATTACCTGGGGCAGAGGGGTCTCCACACCATGAAACCCTATCAGCCATATAACCCAACAAGGTATCTTCCAAGGTAAGGAAATTGTGATTGGACTTTGTATAACGATGAACGAGATCATTCGTCTTGCTCCAAAACAGTGACTGTGAAATAAAATACAAGGTAGAATAAGTGATACTGATACTAGAACTGGTCAGGAAATTTTCTTTAAAAAAAATCATGATAATGGAGTTAATTGTTTGTTTGTTTGTTTATTTGTATTGAGATGCTGCAAGGTCAAATGAGCGGCTCAGTTTCTATTCCTGCAGCCCAATCCAGCTCCCTTTTCCCAAACCCTTTGGATAGTTATTTTTTGTGGAAATTGACCTGTTCAATCTGCAAAGCATTTGGAAAGAAAAGTTCTGCCCGGCTCTCACAGACTATGTGCTCCTAATTTATTGGGTGCTTTTGAACTGTGCATGGAAGAGCAGCTTTTCAGAAGCAGTGCCCTTGTAGCTGCACGCTCGGGTACTCCTTTCACGAGGCCGTGTGCTTAGGGAGCAGGGACGTCTCCGTAACTTCCGCAGGATGATCCCAGTGCTGCCCTTCAAAGCACAGCCTTGAGCAAGGATGTTTCTGGGTAATAGATAAGGAACAGGTTTGCTCAGTTCCAAAGGTGATAACAGCAGGATGATTGCCGCAAGCCCAGGGGCAAAATACCTGCCTTGTCACCTTAGAGATACTCACAGTTATTATGGAAATGATCCTTCATTCTAGTCAAAGTGCAGACGTGTTGTCCCACAACAATCCTACTTATACAGCCCACCACGTGTTAGGGCCATTACCTTGTTACAGGGTATGGGATGACTTGCTAACTCCATTAAAGGCTGATAATCTTCTGTTGTAATATTACAGGGATTCTTGTAAATGAACGCCTGCTTTAATGATTCCCATATTTTTGGGCAATCTTTATCTCTGCCAAAACATTAAAACATAGTTAGTTAGTATTTATGACTGTGAAAGGATCTCCTTTTTCATGTTCAAACTCTATGTATCAAATTTTTAGAAAGTTTTGACTTTGCTCAGGCGCTAAAATAGTTCATCCTTTAAAAAAGCTGACTACCTTCAGCAAACTGAGTATAAGCTGAGGAATGAGCAGTTCTAGAACATCTCTCTCTCTCTTGCATTTTACATTGCTGATCACTGTAATATCTGAGTGGACTTTATGTCCCTTAAAAGAGCTTTGCTGACATGATGTAACTAGAATATCACATTTATTGATTATTCATACTAAATCATGAGAAGCAAATGTGGCAGAATATAGCTTGTACATTTTACAAATATGGCTGAAGGATACTGTCTGCACAAATATAGTGATCTAAAAATATGCCAATAAGTCCCTCCAGAGAGCATACAACCCTACAGAAATATTATCCATAATTTTTACTAGCACAGATGCCCGGGTATTTTTAGTTACACACTAGTTTCCAGCTATTGACTTTGCTAGAGCTGCTGCTGATTTGCACAGGTATTTCTGAGATTGTAATCAGGTGCTTCATCTTCAGTCTGATCATCCACCGCTTTGCAGCTCCTAAACCTTTTGCACTTACTGGTGTGAGTCAGAAGAATCCCACTCAATTACACTGGGGAAAGTGGTGCATGCTCAACTGAACTGTATCACCTCCATCTCCATTTTCTCTTAAGATCTTGCTTCATCAGCATAGTCATCAGCCCTGGAAATAAAACACTCTGCTGACAGAACAGAGGGCTCCTTTTGTACTACCAAAATGATATTTGTTGCACTCCGCTGGCAAGAGCTCATACTGCTGTGCTTGCACAGAGATAGTGACATACTCCCTTTCCAAAAAAAGCCTGGGACTTCTCAGGCCAATTGCTTCTTGTAGCTGAAGTATGGAACAAAATGTTATGTTAAGATAATTCATAATCATTGCCTGTGTTTTCAAGGCTGTTTCCCATAGGTGCACTTCCCTGGATCCTGTGATATCAGGTCCATTTTGAACACGCGCCTGTCTCATTACCTCTCAGTGACAGTGTAACAGAGATGCTACTACTTGCAGTTCCACATTTCTCTTTTCCCTATTTTATGTAAATTTTTTAATGTTGATTACATTGTCCTGTCTACATACCTGAGTAGAGCTATTCTGACCATCTTTTGACTTCATCCTTTTTTCTTCACTATTTGCAATCATCTCCCAATGTGTTTCCACTAAAAGCTCCTTGAAGAATTAATTTTACCTTTTGTGAAGAAACTAGTACCCTTAGAGCATTATAAAAATAACACCGATCAATTACTATGTGGCAGATACACAGCTGCAGGCTTTTTTTATTTTGCCACTTGGTACCCAGGTAACATGTAGGATGGGGAATTTGAATAGTCTTAAAAATAATCCTAAAAGCATTAAGAAAAAAGCAGCAATTCCTTTAGGATTTCAAAGCATTCTACAATGCTCTTAATCTTCACAATTGCTGTATCATCTAATTCCCATTACTTAAGTTGATTAAGATTTCTATTTAGTATCCATCAGAGGGGCAAATGGAAAACAGAAAATTCAGTTCCTCACAATATATAGTTTTTGTCTAAACTATGTTGCCTGGAGCTGCTACTTAACCCCCGGCCATTTCCTGACTGTGTTGGGATGTGTCTGGATGTGAACTGTCTTCCTTCCATTCCTTATGGAAAAGAATCATCACACAAAGGGAAGGTCAGAGTCTCCTTGGCTGTGCCCAGAGAGGAGCTACAGCACCTGAGAGCACTGCGTAACAGAGGGAAGGCCTCTGTTAGACACCCTACGTGGGGCTTGGGCCAGTCTCATACCAGAAAGGACCAGGCAATCCCCTCCAAGGTGCCCTGACTTTCCTTCTTGTCTTTATTTAGGCAGTTACAGTTATAACTTAGCATGTGATTGTGTGTGATATCGGTTATTTGGTTCAGACTAATTAGCCTGTTTTTTTTTTTTTTTTTTTGTCTACTTCTGATTACAACAGTAGCTTTTATTTTATGGCATACTTCTCCTTTCCACCAGACTACAACAATTCTCATTTCATGGTTGGCTACAGCTCCTCTGCCCTAAGGTCTTAGCAACAGCTCTTTACGCTACAGCTGGCTTCTTTTTTTGCTGTCATGGTTAGCTGCAACTTCTCTCTTTGGTCTTCTTTTATTAAGTTCTAACTGATGGTAACAAAGCTCTCACAACTCATCAACTTGCCTATGCCAGAGCCCATGAAATCTGCTTAGTGGCTGCTCCTGCTGAGGAAGGGGCAGGGGAAGGTGGGAGGTGGCACTTGGGTCCTCCCGCAGCAGGTTTGTCCTCCAGCTTTCCCGATCGTCCCAACTCTCTGAAGGGTTTATGGCAGATGCGTCCTGCTCTCATTCCTGCAGCAGCAAAATTCATTATGCTGCTGAGCTCAAGCTGGGCTGCAGATATCCTATGGCATGAATTTACTGATTTAAAACAAATTTGGGTATTGCCGCCTTACAGTCTGTCTGAAATGCAGACAGGTGAAGGGGCAAAACAAGGGGAGGTTCTCTGGCCACCTTGGATTACATGCCAAATTTCATTTTGTACCACACAGGTCTGTTACAGGGAAGACCCCAGTCACGGTACAGATCGCACCTCTTGTTTGTATGCACTAAATTTACTTCCAGGTAAGTAAATGATAGTGACAATTATAATTTTTCACTGGGCTATTGTCTTTTATCCAGGAATCCAAAAGCGCTTTCAGTTTTAGTTACTATAAAACTGCAAGTATTTCTAGTAATTGCACAGTCATTGCTTTACTCTGCAATGTCTGCTTTGTCATGTCAGGGAGTGGGCACATGTTTTACTAAGCAAAGACACCAGCAAATATCTCTTGGACCTTTATATACGCCATAAGTACGTTCCTCAGAGGACAAGTCAGAGCAGAATTTAAGCTGGACATATCACATTTTCTTCCGGAAGAGCTTGTCCTTCGTTGCAAACTTCGGTACTTCTTTTAGCGTTTGGCCAGTTGCAAATTCCTCTCACTGTGACACAGGATTACAACATGGTCACATTGAATCAGCCAAAGGAGATGGCTCATACTGATTGAGGAGGACGTTTCAGAAGAGGCATCTGTCCCCTTGTCATTGCACATCCAACTGCACCATAAAAGAGAGTTTGTAGGGGTTCGCTGTAAGCACTGGTACAGCTCAAAGGCATTTTTATGGTTCACAATTTCTAATTTGGCAAGTAATATGTCCTCCTGGCAGGGGTCTTTTTAAGTTACTCCTGAAATCCCCTATATATGGCAGTGTTAACAGCCACAGTTGACAGTTGGCTACCTAGTCATTTATCCTTTCACGCTGTAAAGTTCTGTAGGCTTGTTCTCAGAAAACAAAAATATTTTATAGGAAAACATAAGAAAACCTGGGGTTTATTCCCAGTACAAAGAGGTAGATAATAAACACAGTACAAAGCATTTCTGCTACTGTACTGTAGTCATGACTATGAGAAACATGAAGCAAAAACCATTAATATGATTCAGGATCCTGCTAAGACACCTTGCTGAGTCCTGAACTCAAAGCATCAGTGTACTGGCATTTTAAAACACCAAGCTCAGCACTGGGTGATGTGCATAGATATATCTGAGAGAGAGAGAACAGTGTTTATCCACAATTTTGGCAGAGTTGAGAAAAATGTATTTTTAATATCCTAAAGTGATAGAGCTTAGCTTTTGAATGTGGAAGGAGTTCTACAGCTGGTTATTTGTAGGATGTTTTCTATGTATTCTGTAGGATACACAGATGAAAGCTAAGGCATCACGGAGGACTTTTGCAGAAATGAATGCACTCCAGCATTATTTTAGAAAATAAAATACAGAAATTTAAGGTAAAAATACATGCAAAAGTAAAACAACATCTATTTTTTCATTATCCTCACCTATTAACAATAGTTAATTGATTTGCTGTTGGAAGGCTCTTTCTCTGATACAAAATGCAGGGTCTGCCTGACAACTCAAGAGCTTACCAATTGCACAGAACTGTATTTTAGTCGAAAAAACTAAAAGTAAGGAGTGAGAAATCCTTAGGATTTGTTAATACCAACTCCAGGAAAACATGAAGTCTTTTTATCCTCACTGTTGAGGTTGACATTGAAAAGTTACGTCTGCATCTAGCATAGAAAGAAAGTGTTTACCTGGTGTACAATATTTAGCTGACATTCAGTGAAGTTAAGGGCAGAGACATGCTGCAGCTCAGGGGTTCCTGAAAACAGTGCTAGAGTTTTGTTGGTGTTTGCTGTGCTAAAACTTCTAGCAAGAATACTTCCAGGTTGAAACAAGCACATCGTCCTTGCCAAAAATGACCAAGAAAAACTGTGTTCTTATGGTTACAGCCCAAGCTGCTTGAGGCCAACACCTGCCCAAAGATCCTGTCCTCCCACTCTGAGCTTCTGGTAGCTCTCAAACACAGTTTGCAGGGAGAGCTCATAGTTTTTAATGGACTCATCCAGACAAGGTGGTGGGTGACAGATGAGTGACAATGTTTTCAGACTTGACATGCCAGAATTTGGGATATCTTTTAAGGCTTCTTGCACTGAGAGGAGCTAGTTGGTAGCTACTTAATTTACCTTTTTAGGTGGAGCATTAGAAAGCAAGCTTCATGTAGTTATTATTAGAAAAAAACATCCCAATCCATTGAATCTGAAATCTTTCATATTAGTGAAATCCTTATTGGGAAGTTCTGAGATACAGAACTGATTCATTTTTTTTGTTGTTGTTTTATTTATAGGAGAAAAGGAAAGATGGGGGAGAGGGAGATTACTAGTCTATCAATCAGTTTAATTCAGACACAAGAGTCCATGGTGAACATACTTGTGAACTAGCCTGCTCTGGGACTCACATATAATCTTCCTCTGTTTTTTTTTTTTTGTTTGTATGTTTTGGTTCATATGGCAATTCTTCATCAAGGAGATGAGATATCTATATTTATATTTGCATAATAGAATTCATTCTTTAAAGCTACCTTTGCTTATGATGAAATACTTAAGGCCTTTTTATTCTGATACAGAATCTGAAACATTTAAGGCAAATTTACTGAGGCATAAAATAAATATACACAAGTTTTATGTTTCATTTATTCAAGTATCATTTTCAGTGAATAAAATTTGGGAAACATGAAATAATAACAAATGCTCTTAAAAGGAATGCTGTGGAAACCTGCTGTAAGATTAAGGATTGAATCTCTAACTCTTTCTCCACTGAAAGAGAGGATTTCAGGAACAGCCCTTATGCCCTTTTGGAAAGAAATCCTGTATATAATGCACTGATTGAAGCATCAAATAATGGCTGGAATACAAATTGATATAACCAGTAAAACTATGCTTCCTTATTAAATGCAAATGTTACATATACTGCAGGGCATATCCTGGATTTGTCCTTACATTTGGGTAGAAATTTTATTTTCCCATGAATTTGAGTATTTCTTTCCATTTACCTTTTTTAATGAATATCATATTAACCTATCAAACTGAGGCCAAAAAATTTTCCATTAGCGGCTATTCTAGAGCCAAACTTTAATGTGTGTGTTAGAAAAATGGACAGCTTCTGCATCATTATCTCTTGCATATCAGTACGTTGGTCTGGCTAACCTTGAGAAGTATCCTTTCACTTAAAGGAATGATTTAACATAAAGATAGATGGGAAAGCACTATTGATATAGCGAGTTTTTTTTAACTTGTGATTTTATTTTATTTTTTCTTTAACTGGACATGACAAGACAACTTCATCCGCACTCGAAATTGATTTAACTGGTATAATATCAAGCATGGATTTCATCCCTGGGTGTTTCAGTCACTACCTGAACAGTGTTGTTTTCAGTTCACCACTGACTTGGCATCAGTCCTGTGCTAAGAACATCTTATGAAGGGCAGAGCTTCCTTGGTGTATGTTGCCTCTAGTTTTTTACTGAAAAAGAGAGACGTGCTTAAAGTATGTCTTTTAAATTTACCAGTAAACGAGTCTTTCTGGCCTTCTTCTAGAGTTTTGGGTTCAGTCTGATCATAGGGTTCAAACTTCTCCAACAGACAGGAGAAACTTCTCTGGTGAGACATGCTATCCTCCATATTCAGCAGTGAATTTCCAACATCCTAACATGAGAGGAATAGAGAAGGGAAAAATTATTGAGGAAAAGAATTAATTAAAAAAATCATAAAACTGAGCTGTCAGTCTT